AACAGCTAACACATCAAGCCTTTCATTCATGCTTTAAGGCCAGGTTTACTCTCAAATTCTGATTGCCTGTTACCATGCTATCTCCCCTTCTACGAATGTTTCAAGCACTTATGGTCAAAACTTTACCACCTAGTTACACTGTATAGCATTTAAGCCATACTTCTTATGACCTCTGAGAGCAGTAACTAACCCGTACTTCATTTTACTCCCAGGTCTGGATGCAATGCTTAGCACCAAACCTACCGCCCTCAACATCTGATAAACTGAAGTTAAACAACAACAAAACACAAGAGATCTAGCACCTAAAAGATATGAAAGAGTTAATCTCAGATCCATGTTTATTTAGAAATGTGCATTCGGATCCAAAGTTCAAGCTATTAGTCTATGACTCAGGCACTGTCTGTCTGGTTATGGGATCCCAAACATTCCAGAATTGTCTGAGAACCTTAACTTTATATTCTGGTGCAGAAGTATGAGGCGTGGTCCGAGTTTCTGGATCTCTAATGGGTGAGGTTCAGTGACGTTTGGGGAATGCACTGAACAGACCTAACTGCTAAAATAAGCTCATTCGCAATCCCTCCCATGCCCCGTGGTCAATGTGTTCAGTTCTCTCCTAAAGGCAGATCTGGTTATGTCACCACTCAAACCACGTCAAAGGTTTTCTACCACCTACTTAGAAAATGCTGGTCTAGTTTCTCATAATGGTGCAAGGTTGCTTGTCTACCTGACCTGTGACCTGTGTCTACTTCTAAGCTCCTCGATTGCATATGGAAACCACAAAACCAGAACAAAGCCCACTGCCCTCAAGTCAATTCCTACTCAAACGGAACCTTTAGGACAGAACAGAACAGCCTTTAGTGGGTTTCTGAGGTTGTACCTCTTTAAAAGTTCTGAAAGCCCCATCTTTCACCCTCAGAGCAGCTGGTGGGTTCGAACTGCTTGCCATGTGGTTTGGACGTGTCAACACCTAACCCATTTTACTACCAGTATTCTTGTCTCTTGCACTTGGCAAAGGGTCTTCATATAAGAAAGGCTGGTTTTCTCTGAGCACTAAGTATAAGTAAAAATGGATATTGTGTTTCCTATTTTCCACTGTTTAAACTTGGCCCCAGAGCTTAGCTGTATTGAGAATTCTTCTTGGGAACTCTTCTCAAACCTATTTATTTCTCAAAAGATACAACAAATATACCTACGGAGAGGTTTACAGTCTGTGGAGTTTTAAAGGATTTCTGGTTGGTTTTTAAGCTTCCAGAACCCAGATATATTTATGAAAGATAAAAGATGTGGCAGCGCCCTCACTGGTCTCTCCCTCGCCTCTCTTCCCCCTCTCCTCCCATCCATTCTCCTTTGTCTCCCCACCCCACCCCCCAACCCCCGTCTCCACATGGACCACCAAGCGAGGCCAAGGTCACCTCCTCCAGGCTGCCCACAGATTTGCCATCAAGAAAGCAGTCACAGTCCAGCCGAGCCAAGAAGATGACCCACCCCCTTCCACGTTGCTCAAGGACTACCAGAACATCCCTGCAGTTGAGAAGGTTGATGATGTTGTAAGAAGACTCTTGTCGTTGGAAATGGCTAAAAAGGAGAAGCTAAAAGTCAAGCAAGAGTTGTTGATGAACAAGATCGTGGAAAACCCTGAGGACACCAGCTCCCTGGAGGCTCGCCTTGACTGTCAAGATGCGCAGCTACGAAGAGCACATGGAGAAGCATCGCCAGGACAAAGCCCACAAGCGCTACCTGCTCATGAGCATCGACCAGAGAAGAAGATGCTCAAAAACCACGGCAAAACCAACTACACCGTCTTTGAGAAGACGGGCCAGGAGCTGGGGATTGAGCACACCTTCTTCCCCACCCCCCTCTGCTACAGAAAGGCCCAACGCTGTGGCCAAAGGTCACTGTGCACTTGGGTTTCCCAGGAGGTTCAAAAGCTGAAGAAGCAAAAAAGGACCCTAAAAGTTGCAGCTGCTGCAGCCCGGAAACAAGGTCAGAAGAGCCCAGAGGGGCCTGCAGAAGCCAGACCAGAGGCACTGGGGTGGGTGGGGGGGTGTCAATAAATTCTGTTCCCAGGGGGGAAAAAGACGTGGCAGCACCCTAGCTTAAATCAAGTGGTGAAATGCGCCTTTGAGACAAAATGCTAAACATATAGTGAAGAAAGAAAAGAACTTCTCTCCTAAAATGAAATATATAAAAGAAGGTGTGGGTTCATTTCCACTCATGTCCTCCTCTTACCCTTCCTTTCTCGCTTTTCCATGCTTCCAGTCCTCCTGCTGACTTCATAGTTAACCACCTCTTCTTTTAAGAAAGTTTCTTTTAAATTATAGTTAAGCATCTCTTCTTTAAATATAACTCACTACCACCGAGTTAATGCTTACTCATTGCAACCCTAGGACAGGGTACAACAGTCCCTGTGAGTTTCCAAGACTTAAATCCTTACGGGAGTAGAAAGTCTTCTCTTTCTCTCTTGGAGTTGGCTGGTGTTTTCGAATTGCTTAACCTCAAGGATCGCACACAGCCTAATGTACAACCACTATTGTGAGTGGGTTGCTCATTAGGCACACAGGACAAGACCACTGCCTTCCACAGTTCATGGCCCATGGGAGAATGCTCATGGCTCAGCCATGGGAGCTGATGAAGCAATGGCCAGCCTGCCTCTCTGCCTGAGATAAACGGACACTTGCCTCCTGTTCCCTGACTAAAGCTGCAGAAGTCAGCAGTCTGCAATCTTATCAGTTACTTCCTGTTGCCAGCCTCAACCTCCCTTCCCGTCTGTGGATCACTTGGCTGATGTGTTAATGTTGTTTTGTAACTCCTTCAAAGAATTGTGAACTGTTCCATTGTGTAATCCTGTCACAGAAAGGTGTTGAACGCTGCCTCTAATAAAGTTTGAGGCCCTGGAGCGCCTCAACTTTTTGCTATCCCTTTTGTATGTGTTCTCCTTGAAGACTGTACCCTCACAAACCTGTTCGAGTTACATCTTACAAATATGCCACCAAGGATTCGTGTGTGTGTGTGTATACATACACACATACGTACATATACATGCACATGTATATATATACACATATGCATATAGTCCTATGTACAAACACATAATTCAGGTTTTAGACTATAAACACGCAGCCTCTGATTTCATTCAAGACACCTCATTCTTAGAGACAGCCCTAAGTGGGAAGGGGTAAAAATGGTTATAAAACAATCATTAAGTGTTTGATTTATATGATTTTTATTCCTAATTATTGAAATATCAGAGGGAATAATGAAGAATAAGCATTCTTTCCTTCTCTGTTCTAAAATTTTATTTCCATTGTAAACATTTCTGCCTTGGCTTAAAAAAAAATTCCAGACCTACCAGTGCTCAAATGATAATACATTTAAATAGACAACCCAAGTAAGACCAGCTGAGTCACACACGAGAGAGTCATTACAAAAAGGGCAGCAGAGCTACATGAACCATCAGGATTTGTTGTACCTTAAAAGAAGTTTTGAAGGAGTACGATTAGTATGATTCTATTTGACAAGTATGATTCTAATGAAAGAAATACCCATGTGTATTTGAAAAATGCCAACACCAAACTAAGGCTGTCCTGAGTGAAATTGTGGGCCAGGGAACTCATTGTGCAGGGACTGTCCTGTATCTGGAAGGATATCTAGTGGTTCCTTTGGTCTCCACACACTAAGTGCTACACTTACACTACAGCGTTTTTGTAGTGTAAGCAACCAGAAATGTCTGTATTATCTCCAGGGGGAAAAGGACTCCTGCCAGGGATCCACTACTCTACTTGGGTTTATAGTATTTACCTCCAGAGAAGGATGAAACTGGGGCAGCTCAAAAGGGAAGTACAAGGGAGTACATTGCAACCCCCCCCACCCACACACTAAAGGGAAAAAGCTCTGCTGGTAGGACCTTACGTAGTATGCAGCTCCCCCTGCTCCCCAGCTACTGTTGAACATCTTGCTCTGAGTTAGTGGATCCAGTGGCATCACCTGGGAAAGTTCTCTCTGGTCACAGTGAATTTTTTTGTAAAAGTACTTTTGCTTGAACCTTGTTTTGTGTGATGGCTGATTTAAGAGAACCGTGCACAGCTGTGAAATTCTGTTTCCTGCTCAGGAAAAATGCTGTAGAAACTGTTGTGATGTTGAACACAGCTTACAAGGACAGCGCTATGGGGAAAACTCAAGTGTACGAGTAGTTTTCTGGTTTCAAAAAGGTTAAATTTTGATTGATGACAAATCTCGCTCTGGTCTTCCGCCAACTTCCCAAATGGAAGAAAATGTTGATTCGTAGTGCATTTGGAATTTGTTCCCCCAGGTCAGACTGTTAATCAAAGCTTTCTTTTTAGAAGTTCTGAAAAGATGGTGTAACAGTGTGTGACAAAAAAAAGGCTTGATTTGTGGCAGATTGGGGACTGGTTTTGCCACCACGACAATGCACCGGCTTAAACAGTCATCTATCTCAGTGCACCAGTTTTTGGCAACAAACAGCATGGCTCTTTTGTCCTATGCACTTTACTCACCTGACCTTGCTCCATGCCACTTTATTTTTGTTTCTGCAAATGCAGAGGAACATGAGGGGACAGCGATTTGACAATTTAGAAGAGGTGAAGAAAAAAATGAGGGAGGTGCTGTTAGCCTTCCAAACGATGAGCTTGAAAAATGTTTCCAAGAATGGAATTGCAGATTTGACAAATGTATTAAGTACAATGGAGAGTACTTTGAAGGTGACAAGGTTCTTTTGTTAAAAAAAAAAAGTTAAATCGATAGCTTTGGGAAAAAAATAATTCTTGGCCTTTGGGGTATATCCCAAGTACTTTTCTTTCTCCTCCTACTTAACTTATTTCTGCATTGTGTGGACACACACTCTTTCTTCATCAAGTGTTTACTCCATATATAACTGTTCTGAAAAATATGTAAAAAATCATCCCAAGACTACCCTGGTCTTACAGAACAGCAAAACACATACACCCAAATGGTCAGGAAACCTGTTATTACGCCACACTCACCTTCATAGGGTTTTCATCGTAAGTCGGGGTTCCCAGGTCCATCTCAGCTTCATGCTCTAGGCTGGCATCATCTCCTGGGCTTTCCCAAGTAGGAGGATCCCACTGAGTCTGCCTAGAAGAAAGTGAGAACAGCTACACTGTCATGGCCACGAAGCAGAACTCTGGCGCAGATGTCTTTGCTCATTCGCAAACCACATTGAATCCAACATGCAATGAGATGAGTCATTTCCATGAGAGATAGGTCTGGCACATTTCTGCAACAATGTGACAACAGTGGCTAGGTGTCACTGAGAGCAGAATAACCATGTGTCTTGCCTCTCTCTTACCTCCTTTTTCATAGCCTGAAAACAACTCAGCAAAGCTTTAAAAAGTACATGGACGAGATGCCTGCCTGTGCCATCTCTGTGTAAGTGACTATACCAAGCAAACACTTGGGACAAAATAAATCACAAAAGCAGTCCTCTCAACCTTTGAACCCTTGTGAGGAGACAGACCCTGTTTTAAGAAGTCTTTCTGCTTGCAGTTCTGCCTGTCCGTTTGGTAGCATGAAATAGGTGTTTGAATTTAAAGATGTGTTGTTGTTTTTTAAACCAACAAAGAAATGTGTGAAGGAACGAAATTTGGGGGAGTTAAATATTAAGGGTTTAATTTTATAGAATACAAAAAGGGACCCTACAACTCACCAACACAAAGACAAACTACCCAATTAAAAAATGGGCAAAGGATTTGAAATGACATTTCACAAAAGATATACACGTGATCAACAAGCACATGGCAAGATATCCAATACCATCAGTCACGACAGAGATGCAAATGAAACCAGAATGAGATACCACCTTCACCCCCAACTGAGTAGCTAGACAGAAAACAATCAATGCTGTTGAGGATGTGGAGAAAGCGGACCCCTTATTCATCGTTGGTGGGAGTGCAAAATGGTACCACAGTGGAGAACAGTTTCCTCAAAAAATTAAACATTGAGCTCCTCCTCTCCTCTCTCGCTCCCTCCTCTCCCCGACCCCTCTGCTCCTCTCCCGTCCTGTTTCCCTTCCCCCTCTCTCCACGTGGACCACCAAGCAGGGCTGAGAATTCCCTGGAGTGCCATCCTGCTGTGTATAAAAGGAGCCCGCTGAAAAGCAGGAGGAGGGAGCTTATTGCCAGCAAGAGCCAGGGATGGAGCATGTCCTCTGGACCTGAGATTCCTGTGCAGTGAGCCTCCTGGATCCAGATGATACCTACAACACCAGGGAGTAGCAGCAGAACCAAGAGCCAGAGGATGGAGCAGAGGGATGGACTTCCCAACCCACACGGCAGGAAACACTACCTCTCTCAGCTGAGTCCCTTGGAGACTCTCTACTGACAAGACTCACTCCCTGGGAGACATTGCAGAAGACAAGACAACATGGATGCAACCTGACCCCTGAAACTGAGGAAGCCATAGAGAGACCCCTGCCAGCACTGAGATGCTTACAATACCACTGGACCCTAAGACTTTCTACCTGCTGGCTTGTGTTTCGTGAGTCTGAAGAGGGCTTTATATATTGGACATATGGGCTAATATCGGACTTACGGACTTGATCTGGCCTGGGCTGAGACATTTTCTCAATTTTCAATTGCTCTTGTATTTATATACACAGAATCGGAAAATGCTTTCACATATATTTTCTTATACGCCTCTTTATACCTTTCTTATATACCTCTTTCTTATACGCCAAATAAATAAATAAATAAATTAATTAAACACTGAGCTACCATACATATTGACCCAGGAATTCCACTCCTAGTAATCTCAAGAAACTTAAAAGCAATGGCACAGACACAGGTACACCCGTGTTCACCGCAGCACTATTCTAAACAGCCCAAAGATGAGAGCCCCTCAATGGCAAGCAACAGATTACCGGTAATTGGTTTAAAAAAAAAAAAAAAAAGGTTTATTCAGGGGACTTCAAAAGGCTCATGGGGAAAAATGGACTTAGAGCAACAAGGGAAACCTTGAGAACATGTTGCATGAAGTAAGCCAATCAAAAAGGGACAAGCACTGCATGACTACACTTAGGTGAAATCTCTCTAATAGGTAAACGTATAGAGCCTGAAGTTTATTAATGTGTTACTAGCGACTGGCAGGTGAGAGTTCGTATTTAGGAAGCACTCAATTTCTGTTTCTGTGAAACATGGCGACAGATACTGGTTTCACATAAAAACAAACTCTCTGCCACCGAGTTGATACAACTCACAGCCACCCTACAGCACCGGGCAGAACTCCCCTGTGGGTTTCCAAGACTGTAACTCTTCACAGGAGTAGAAAAGCCCTCTCTTTTCCCAGGAGCAACTGGGGTTTTGAATTGCTGACGTGGTGGTTAGCAGCCCATTGTTTAACTACTACACCAACTGCCTGCTTTCATTAATAAATAAATAGTATATGTGAAAAACACAGAATCGGAAAATGCTTTCACATATATTTTACAATTTTCAAAAATATATATATCTTCAGCTTACAATAGTCTCAGCTGACTGCAAAAAGAAGGGCTCAAGTATGTCATTTTATTATCAATTGAAAGTAGGCAAAGGCTTAAAAATATTTTTAATGAAAAAAACGAAACAAAACAAAACACCAAAAACTGAACCGAGGTCTGTGGAAATAAGGCCAAGTCAGCCATTGGTTTTCTGCTTTCTGCCCATACCATTCTTCAGCCAGCAACACCGAGCTTTAGAAATGATTGTGATGAGGCTCACCTCTGATCTATAGAACTAGTTTAAAACATAGTTAAAAATTTCTACTGTAATTAAAGAATTAAAGAATCTCTGTGGGGTTATTATGGACAATGAACAGATTATTGCCCGCTCCTACGTAATAAAGAATATCCAGATGAAAGTGGGAAAGATACGAATGTAAATATGAAAAGCGATCTCTCTTATCTTTATTTTGGAGGAGTGACAGCACCTTACAAAGCCACTCCTTGAAAGCTTATAAAGTTCTTTTTCATGGTAGCCAAGAAAGCCTTAATGATCATAATTCAAAATGAAAAAGATGCATGAAAGTTTTACATTCTTTCTCACAAAGTATTAGAAATAAAAATATTTTCAATGTATATTGTTTAATATTCTTGATAACTAGATCTAACAACAGAAATAAATGCTGCAAATGAGCAATTCACAAAAGCTACACAAGCCAATGATCTAAAGAAGAAAATGCATCTCAACAATAAAAGAACCGAAAATAAGAGTTGCCAGCAAATTACACCCACAAGAATAAATGTACTGGCTTATTTGTACATATTTTTGGATGAGTACAATGTGAGTTCAAACACGTTTTTTAAATGGTAGGATGACAATATTTATCAATTATATGTTTATCAACATAGATCAACTTTGATCAACTTCTAAGAATACATTCTTAATAAAGTTTAAAACGAGTATCTCTAAGAATGTTCACAGGAGTTCTGGTTAGTGGGCTACATGATGGGCTGCAAGCCACAGGGTCAGCAGTTTGAAACCACCAGCTGCTCTGTAGGAAAAGGATGAGTGAGCAGTTTCAGTCTGGGAAACCAACAGTGGCAGTTCCACCCTGTTTCCTAGGGTTCCTATCCGTCATAATTGACTGGATGGCGTTGAGTGTGAGAAGAATGTTCAGTATAGGGCTACAGTACATGTAAAATGGTGAAAGCCATCAAGTAGGGGTGGAGTAAATAAAATTTGGTACTGCTTTACAATAGAGTTGAGGTTGGCAAGCTTTTTCTATAAGGGACCAAAACAAAACAAAAACTGCCAAACCTGAGTGATAGCAATCCTATAGAACAGAGCAGAACTTCCCCTTAGGGTTCCCAATGTTGTCAATCTTCATGAAGCAGACAATCTTATCTTTCTCTTGCAGAGTAGCTGGTGGGGTTAAATCAATGGCATTAAAGTCAACCAAGCTTTAACTTACTGCACCATCAGGGTTCTTTTTTTTTTTTTTAAGATTGCGTAATGTGTTTATTAAATACCTTGTGTTAAGCCTGTTTTTCAAAATGGTTTCGATGGCCCCACTTGTCATGTGAGTGCAAAATTAGGATAAAATCAGAGTTCCTTTGTAAAGGACCAGATAGTAAGTATTTTCAATTTTGTGGGCCACACGATCTTTGTTCCAATTACTCAATTCTGCCAATGTAATGTGAAAGCGGTAATGTTAACAGGTAATGAATAAGTGTGGCTGCATTCTTATAAAATTTTACTTGCCAAACAATGGCCCATGAGCAGCTTGCCTACCCCTACAATACAGTTTAAGTGTTAAAAGGATCTCAGTTCTATATTAATACAAAAGTACCATAGAGTAGGTAAATACAGAATAAAAAACATACGCCTTTAACAATTTACATGCTATGCACAAGAGTGTAAAAACACACTATAAAGTACACATACCCATATAAAGCTACCTTACACATATTTTCCAAAAAATGTTAGGTGAGCTATCTTTGGCTTATGTTCTCAGAATTGATCTTTTTTTTTAGTATCTTTTATTTATTTTCTACAATTAGCATACTTAAGTTTTGTATCTCCCCACCCACCCACCCACCACCCACCACCCACCCCACCCCAGGCCCACAAAAACAACAATCTAGCAGAGTGTGTATCTGTGTGTGTGTTTTGGGAAGTTAATTAAGCTTTTAACTTTTACCTAACATACAACTTAATGACAGCACTCACACTAATTAGCTGTGCCCCTTACCCTAGTCAATGTGATTTTTCTATCCCCTGAAGCTGAAACTCAGTTTTCCATAAGCAACCCTTTGTCTTACCTTGGTAACTAGTAACAAATTTTGGTTTTAATATACTTGCCCGTTCTTCTTGTATTTATACAAGTGAGGTAATACATTAGCTGTCTTTTTATGACTGACTTATTTCATTCAATATGTCTTCAAGCTCCAACCAGATTGCATCATGTATCAAGACTCTATCTTAGAATTCCATTGTCTGCACACACGGCACTTTGTTCAGCCATTCATCTGTTGCTTGTTTCTACTTTTTGGCTAATCTGAATAGTGTTGCAATGAATATTGTACAAATCCCCGAGCCTGTGATTTCAAGTCTTTGGGGTGTACCTAAGAGTAGAACTATTGGTCATATGGTAATTCTATTTCTAGTACTTTGAGAAACTGCCATTATTCCACAGTGGCTATACCATTTTGCACTTCCATTAGCAATGGATAAGGATTCAATTTCCCTACATTATCACTAACCGATGTCATTCTATTTTATTTGAATGTTAGGAGGCTTGGTGACGTAGTGGGTTATGTATGGGTTGGGTACTGACCACAAGGTCAGCGGTTTGAAACTGCTAGGTGATCCAAGGAGAAAGATGAGGCATTCTACTCCCATAAAGGACACAAAGGGCAGTTCTACTCTGAGTTTTAGGATCATTAAGAGGTAGAACTGATTTGATGGCAGTGTTTTACTTTTGATCTTAGCCATCCTAACCCAAAGAACCATTACGGTTTTATGATTGCATTTTGTTTCTTATTAGTGTTGTCCAAGTTTCTAAAAACATATTTTTATTATTACATTCTTATCGAGTATAGTTTTGAAAATACCCCCCTAGTCAGTAGCTTGTCTTTTCACCTTTTGGATAAAGTCTTTTTGTTGAACAACAATTTAAAATTTTTATTGGGTCCCATTTATAGTTATTTTGTGTTGTGCTATTACACCTTTCATCAGACAATCCATTGTTCAGAGTTAGGACTAAGTGCTGGCCCTCAACCACTTTCGCCCAATAATTTTATGATTTTAGTTTGCAACATAGGTCATTAATCAATTTTGAATTATCTTTCTGTATGGCATGAGATGCATATCCTGTTCCATTTTTCTGCATGTGGAAATCCTTATTTTACAGTACCATTATTGGACTCTTCCTTCCAAATGAGCTTAGTATCCTTGTCAATCAAAAATATAAGTGTGTTTATTTCTGGATTCTCAATTCTTTTCCATTTGTCTACATGACTACTATTATAGATGTACCAGGATATTTTGATTACTGGAGCTGCCTAGTAAGTTTTATTTTTCCTAGAATGTTTTAAAAGCAGTAATTTCGAGTCTTCCTATTTTATTCTCTTCCAAAACTACTTTAGCTATTTGGAATCAAATTAATAAATTACCTATTAATTCTATTTGAAAATTAGTGCTGTCACCAATAAAATATTCTCAGAAATAGATATTAGATTTTTAAATACAGAAATAGTATCTATGGAAGAACTTAGCATTCTACTATCATCTGTGGACCAAATACAGACAACTATCTGTTTTGGTAAATAAAATTTATAGTTACCCAGTCATGCTTGTTAGTTATTTTCATATGGTTGCTTTTGTACCACAAAGGCAGAGTTAAGTTGTTCCCACAGGGACTTTATGTTCAGCAAAACTGAAAATATTTACTCTCTGACCTTTATAGAAAATGTTTGCAAACAACCCCTGGTGTACCTACAATGCTGAATTAAATTAATAATCAGTTTTATACACTTTTTTTTCTCTCTAAAAATTCACGTAGATTAAAAATATACTCCAAAATGTCTAAAAGGACAAAAGTCTAAGGCCTGCCATACATTTAAGATATGATTTTGGAAATCCAGCAGCCCTCAAACATAGTGAACAGCCAAGGATGACAAGTCAATATATAATCAATCTTTTATGACAATAGGTTCTTGGACAAAGTGGAGGCAGAACTCGGTGATACCCACACAGTCCCTCTTACCTTGTGATGACATGGTAATAATAAATCTTTCCTTCTGGGTCACGGGCTGTCTTCCAGTTGGGAGGTAAGACAATGGTTTTTGGTTTGGGAGGAGAAGGAGGTGGCAGATCCAGGAGATTATTTGTCACAACCATTTCAGGCTTAAAAAAACACACACATTTTAATCAGTGATTGGTTGTTTCATCTGGCTAACATTAAGAAGCAGCATACAAAAAGTACATCTCCTTATGGGAAAAAAAAGAGGCTATAAAAAAAGATTTTTAAAATGTATATATGAATATTTTAAAGGTACCATCAGGGAAATGATCCAAGAGGCAGATGGCCCCCAAGTATATCACCTATAATATCACATAAAAACCAGTGAGTAACTCATTATCTAGACCAGTGTTTGCCAACGTGGGCAACACCACTGGAATGATGCAGCGGGCCTGTGAAAGCAATAACTACCTACACACTGTGTTGTTGGATTACAGAAGTTTGTAACTGCAAAGGAGGGCATAGAGTAATTTTTTTTTCCCTGTAAAGGGGGAGAGGCAAAATAAGCTTAGAAGCCTATGATCTAAAAGTATTTTCCAGCCTTTAAAAACAAAGAACCTAAATGACGGACATCAACTTTGCTGTTGTTAGGCATCGTTGAGTTGTCTCTGACCCACAGTGACCGTATGCACAACAGAACGAAACACTGCACGGTCCTGTGCCATCCTCACAACCGTTCCTATGCCTGAGCTCAGTGATGCAGCCGCTGTGTCAATCTATCTCACTGAGGGTCTTCCCCGACTCCTGACTGACCCCCACCCCCACCCTGCTTTACCAAGCATGATACATCCTTCTTCAGGGCCTGGTCTCTCCTGACAATATGTCCAAAGTATGTAAGGTGAAGTTTTTGCCTCTAAGGAGCATTTTGGCCTTACTTCTTCCAACACAGGTCGGTTTTGTCCCTTTAGCAGTCCATGGTACTCTCCGTATTCTTCTCCAGCACCACAATTCAAATGCATCGATTCTGCTTTTGTCTTGTTTATTAAATGTCCAACTTTCACATACATATGAAGCAATGGAAGATACCTAGGCTTGAGTAAGTCCCTCAAAGTAACATCCTTGGCTCTTCAATACTCTAAAGAGGTCTTGTGCAGTAGATTAACCTAATCCTATACATCTTTTGATCTCCTGATTGCAGCTTCCAAAAGCACTGATTGTAGATCCAAGTAAGACAAAATCCTTGGTAACTTCAATCTTTTCTCCATGTATCATGATGTTACCCATTGGTCTAATTGTGAGGATTTTGGTTTTTTTTACTCTGAGTCATAATCCTTACCAAAGACTATAATCCTTGATCTTCATCAGCAAGCACTTCAATTCCACCTCACTTTTAGCAAGCATATAGTAGGTTGTCAATAAAACCTTCCCCTCCAATCCTGATGCCACATTCTTCTTCATATAATCCTGCTCTGCTCAGCATACAAATCGAAAAAGTATGGTGCGAGAATACAACCCTTTCCTGATTTTAAACCATGCAGTGTGCCCTTGTTCTGTTCACACAAGTGCCTCTTGATCCAGGTACAAGTTGCAAATGAGCACAGTGAAGAATTCCCAGTCTTTTCAAGGTTTTACACTTTATTATGGGCCGCACTGTGGAATGTCTTTGCACAATTAATGAAACACAAGTAAACATCTTTCTGTTATTCTCTGCTTTCAGCTAAGATCCATCTGACATCAGCAATGGTATCCCTTGTTCCACATCCTCTTTTAATCTATCCCGAACTCTGGCTGCTCCCTGTCACTATATTGCTGCACCCATGGTGGGGTGATTTTGAGGAGTGCTCCAGCAGCAAATGAAGACCCCAAAGACTCCACTGCTCCTTTACTGTCCTCACGTCACTCTGGTCGACTTCCCTCCAAGAAACTGGCCCTTCCTCAGTCACATTTTGAGTGCCTTCAGAGCAGAGGGGCTCATCCTCCAGCACGAGCTCCGACAGTGAGCTGTTTCTTTGTTTAGGCGTTTAGTATCTGACAATGCTTCAAAGCTATACATAAGGTTTCCAGAGGCCGATACTTCTTTGTTGTCTGATCTTTGTCTAGAAGTTCCACCGAAACCTGTTCCCTTTGGGTGACCCTGCTGGCATTTGAAATCCCAGGGACACAGCCACACAGTGTGGCACACTGACAGATAAGTGGTGGATACCAACTTTAAGACACTGATTAGTTGCATGAGCTTTTGATATAGTGTTGACTTTTTAAAAAACCTGAAGAGCAACTTCAATAGAACATTAACATTTTATTCATTGTATTTTTTCTTGAAAATGCCACATTTTGAAAAACTTTATAATGATACAATGAATTATTCCTTTTATGTAAGCCCACTGATGAAGAAGAATCTTTTCAGCATGATCTGTTCTCAAGCAATGAAAAGAGGAACCCTTGACACCAGTTTCAGATAAAATGTGCTCACTTTTAGTTAAATACAGGCCTCTGAACATTCTTGGTTTGTGCACATACTCCATCACTATTTTTCTTAGCGCCCCTCTCCCCCCACTCATCTTCAAGTTCCAATTCTCCCCCAGTCCTTTAACTACCCTGTAAAATTATCTTTTTCCTTTGCTTCTGTCATTGAAGAATGTTACAGATCATTTATTTGTTGAATTATGTACCCTTCCTTCACCAAAGAGTGATTCTTTCTTTCCTCAAGTACTCTTTATTAACTTGTAGCAATTACTCAAATATCTCCTCAAAACACACAATGTCATCTTCCTCAATTTTCCACCAATAATCTAATTACTTCTACTTTTTATTCCACCACAATCATACTAGGATATGGCAAGTCTTTAAAATTGAACTCACCTACTCACTCACTGCCTACGAATCTATCCAATTCATAGCAACCTTAGAGTATTCTAAATTCCTAATCTGATGCTACTTTTCTGTTTAAAATCTTTCAACGATTTACCATGTCAACTTCTCATTTTATCAAAAACAAGCCAAAAAAAAAAAACCCCTTAAAAATTTCACTTTATCTTTCTACCCATGTTTCAGAACCCCCAAAATGTCTTTCTGTAATATACATATTGTACAACATATACAGTAAAGCCTATCACTCAAAGCTATGCACGAGTCCAATCATAGTCTCATTCTCATTAAATACTAATAGATGGCTAGTCTAGAAAATTACTTCAGAAGTTCATAGCATATAAAAACAAAGCTCAGGACAATTGGCAAATAAAAGAATAGGAGGAGGAAAGTTGTGATCAATGAGGAAAGCTGTAAATTCCACACATTAAAAAAAATTATATTTGTTAAATCACAAATTGGGCGAGTAATGCACCATGAAGATGGGTGAAACTTTCACAGTTGGGTGAAACTGATCACTATATGAATTAGCCAAAAAATAGAAGGGAAATTTTAAAAAAGAAAGCAAAGTCAATAAAAAAAGAAAACCTTCTAAAGACAAAGTAGGCAACCAAAAAGTGTTTTTTACTGGTTGTAAGGGCTGCGGCTGTCCCGGTGCAACAATTGTCGTCACGGATGCGGTTGGCTGTACCACCACTCCTTGTGGGTGAGCTGTGAAAATCTGTTGTCCCTGGATGTACTGAAGACTTGACTGTGCATAACTCTGAAAACAGAGATTAAATGAGAAATTAACAACTTATGCTTTCGTAGGGCTAATAAAGCAGCAATTGACACAATCCAGGGTGGTACAACCTTACTGGAATATACGTTCAATAATGATTTACTTTTGTTTTTGGTATGCATATTTGGATACAAATGTGCAAACATAATTAAAAATTTTAAAATACAAAGTTTTTTTTATTAAAAATTATCTTAAGTGTTTATTTACATTGGTTTTCCTTTATCACAAGTAAACAGAAAACTGTCTGCTTACTTAACCTCTAGTAAGACTGCAGAGATAGGGAAAGCACTGCTTTTAAGGTATGACAAACAACTCCATGCTGCTCTTTTCATGCTATCTTTGTGTTATCATCTCTTAGTAACTCCATTAGGTTCTCCTGATCAAAAAGGTCAAAGCAGAAGACGAAAGTGATTAAAGTCTAAAATAGTTTTCTAGCTAGCTGTGGTCCTCCAAATTACAATTCCTTTCTAGAAAAACAGAAAAATTCACAGCTTCTAACATTCGCACAGCTCAGATTCAGATCTACATAGTGCTTCAGGATCCAGAAAGCCTATCAGTTTGGAAAACAGGAATCTCTCCAGGCCTGGAGTTATACTAGGAAATAAGTACCACGGCCAAGACTTAAACCTACTCTGGAACTATTTCTCATCAATAAGGGTAAAGTACCCAAAAAGATACGACAAGGAGGAGCCGAGTCAGTCAGAGTACAGTGTAGCAACGATGAAACATACAACTTTCCTCTAATTCTTACTTGCTTTCTCTCCCCCACTATCATGATCCCAATTCTACCTTACCAATCTGGCTAGACCAGATCATGTATACTGGTACAGATAAGAGCTGGAAACACAGGGAATCCAGGACAGAATTGAACAAATACACACTTAAGGACAAATTTTAAATAAATGATTCTATGAGCTCAGATTCTTCCTGGTAAAATTAATGATTCAGAAATATTATTGATAAGGACTAAAAATACAAAATACAGTAATTTCAAATGAGACCAATACAAAGAAAAATGCCCCTAAGGATCTGACTCAGTCAGTGTAGCTACCCAGGAGGTGTGGAGATGAGTACTTACTGACAGAACACAGATAAAGAAAAAAGAGGAAGAAACCCTTGAGTCAATAACAAACCAAACAAAGATAATTGTTAAGATAGAATTACAAAAAAAAAAAAAGAATTATCATCAGAGTGATGTAATAGTACTAAAACCCTGAGGGAAAAAAACGTGTACACCAGAATTGCTTTTACAAGAATTTGGATGCAAGCTGGGGGATCTATGCAGCCTCAGAAATGTTGCAGACACAAATATTCTCTCTCCAACAAAATCCCTATCCCATAGTCTAAGGAAACCGAAAACATTTTTTGATGGGTATCACTGATCAGTACAAAAGGGGATATTCAAATGACAAAAAAGCATGGGAGGGCAGGGAAACATATTAGCAATAAAGACAGTCAAACAACTGTTACTGTCATCTTCACTTATGCAGACTAGGTTTCATAATTATATTCCACATATTTATTGATAAATATTTAGTATTCTGATTCCCCATCCCCCTTTAAGCAAAAGCTAGATCAAAATAAAAATTAAGAAAAACCAGCACCAGAGTAAAACATGTTATTTCCAGAGTGATCAAGAAGTAAACAATCCAGATCTCTATCATAAAGTTGCTAATATTTTAGAGGCTAAAATTTCTTTGACCTTTGGTGACACTATGTAAATAAACCAAGCCCACCGTCACTCAGTTGATTCCGACTCATAGTAACCCATCTTTCGCCCACAAAGTGGCTGGTGTGTTTGAACTGCCAGCCATGTAGTTAGCAGTCCAATGCTTACCCGAAAGTGCCACTGGGCTCCTTAACTATTTTATGTTCATGAGAAATTTGTCTGACAAGGTGAGATGATTAAGTCAGACCCATAATGCAGACCCGGGAAAGGATTTAATTAGTGTGGACTAAAAGACTTGGCTTCTTTAGTTTAGACTGGCTCCAAATGTTGGTTGTTGAGACAGCTTCTAAGTTAAAATGAAATTACCCAGCTTGCTCATTCCCTATTCACTAGAAAGACTTTAGGTAAAATGTAGCTGTTTCGAAACAGAAAAACTGATTTAAAGGATGATGACTTGCCATCACTAAGAACGCACCACACACTGGAAATAATTCCCAAAGGAGAGGCTAAAAATGTCTGAACAGTAGCATCACTGTTGGACTAAATGGAATAAAACAAATTGACATGAGATACATTATTTAAAAATCAAACTGAAAAAGGGTAAAGGAAGGGGGTGGGGGAGGGGAAGAAGGACTCCTAAAAGGAAGAATGATCATTTTTCAAAGGTTCTACACTATCTTTCCCAGTGTCAGCCAAGTGACCACTGTAGGCTAGTGTCAAAACACTACCTACTTATCAAAAAAAAAAGGAAAGGAAAAAAAGTCTGGAATCTTAACAGAAGTTACTAAATAAACTTAAGTGGAAAGGAAGGGAAATTGCTTTGCAGTCCAACTTCAATGATGCAGAAGGTGGGCCGGTATCTACTTGTGAGGCATTTCTAAGTATCACGGCCTAAATCTAATTGCGGGGCTCTACCTTTAGGAGACTGTCTCCATTGTGCCTCCATAACTGACTTCAAATTATCCAAAAGGTACTTTTAAAATATAAACCCAGTCTAAAAATCTTTTCATATGCAACTTCTGATGGGTATTATAAGAGAAATCTAAGAAGGTCCAGTACACTGTTCTGCCTCCACTTAAGAGAAAAATCTCTTGGTAACTGAGTAAACTTTATGTGAAAAATTTTAATCAAAGCACTCAGTTTTTATGATCTAATTTAGTATAACTCTGTACTATGCAATTTTGATAAAAAATAAAACAAGCATCTTCTAGTGATGCATTTGTGCTAAGTGTCAAGGTTATTGACACACAAAACACTCACAAAGGTGTAGATGTGCATACCTACACACACATCTATATTGCATCATGCTACATACTACTTCACTGTCTAGGTTATCATACTGTGAGGTCTCAGAGTAGCCTGTGGTGGTATGAGTGACTTGGGGACTTGAATACAGACCTGCAAGGCCTCATCTGATAGGACTGATCTTTGTGTCATGCCAAATGGATGACCGTGACCAGGTTTATTTCATACCCTACTAATATCAATGCTTCCTCAGACAGAAACAGCACTAAAGACCCTGAGAATCAACATGAGACAGAAACCATCCCAATAATCACATTTTGGATAAAAAATATAAATAACTAAACACAACAAGGTAAATGCAGACAAACAGTAAATGGATTGGTAGATTCTTAGGGGTATGGCAGGGGCTGTTGAGGGGAAATAAGGAGCTATTAATAATAAACAATGTGTACAACACAGAAAAAATGACCTAAAATTGGTTATGGTGATGACTGCACAACTCTTTTTATTATGTTTAAAACCATTGAATTTTATGATGAGTATATGTCAACAAAAGTGTTAAAATTAAAAAGAGAAAACGATAATATTCAAAGGTATCAAAGCAAATAAAATATTATCAAAACAGTAAATATTAAAATATCAAAGTACTATATTAAATAAAATATTAAAGCAATAGTTATTATAAGTAATAATAGTAATAAGTAATACTTATTATAAGTAATAATAGATATAAAATATTAAAATAGTTCTAAGCAATTATTTTTTAAAAGATCATAGAATCTTCCCACAAAGTTTTAAGGCAATGTACTACAAGCACATGTCTCAAAAACACCCAGTAAATGATGGGTGAAGACTTCCAACACACACTGACGATATGCTTTTCACTATCCAAAGCCCAACAGAATCTCTATCAATTAATATCATACAAGGGAAAGGAAGGCGAGTAGGAATCACCATACTCCACTTATCTACTACTCTCGTATTAAGTAGGATTAGGGAATCAATAAAAGATTCTTTTATAGGACAGACTGGAAAACTGGAAGCAAGGGGAATTGTGACATTTGAGTCTTTACGTTAATGATTAAACACAAGAGAAATATACTTTGCTCAATGGGATGAAAAAAAAAAAAAAGAATTGCACTCTGTAAGACTATTAAATGACCAGTGTACTCTCTATTGAGGAGTACTGAATGGCTATCTTTAATGGTTGCTGATCTGCTCTTAATAATATTTTTGGAACAATATTTTAAGACTAGGAAAGGGAGAGAAGTTTCATTTCTCTTCTATCTAGGGAAAACTTACAGCTATGGCTCAGTGCAAGAAAGAATATGGCAATGCATAGAAGTTAGGGCCTAAGAAGAAATTTGTTTACAACCTAAGAAACTTTCTACCACCCAGTGAACATCGAGTCCATTGCTACATAGAGCAACCCTATAGGGCACAGGGCACTGCAGAACTGCTGTCTTCCTATGGCTTCTGGGGAAGTCACGCTGACTGCCTCATCTTTCTCCAGTTGTTGGTTGTTTTCCTAACAACCCTCCAATGAGCAACCCAATGCTTAACACCTGGTGCCACCTTTTAAACATATGAAAAACCCAAAATCATATACAAAGAAAATTTATACCCAATGACCAATTAATGTCTATCTTCTTACTTGTCTAATGTAGCACTGTAACATTCATTTAACCGCAATACCAAAAGAAAAACCTAAATATAAGAATGCTCAATAGAATGCTATCTATACTTAAGAAAAAAAATTTTCTCCATTTAAATGACTATCACAGAGGAAAAAATGACTTAATAATGAAATTAAATATTACACAACTACACACACACAGAGATTTGGAAAAATGCTTGAATAATGTTAAATAAAAGTCAATATTACTGTTTGATACCCATGAAAATATCATTAAAAAAGAGTTACCTTTAAAAAAAAAAAGATGGAAATACCATGTTCAGAAGTCTATAGACATAGCTGGAGGCTTTGTCAAGAACCAAATATATTTGTATTTTTGATATTTTTATCTATTAAGATTTCTATAATTTTAAAAATATTAACCTTTTTGACAGGCAGTGATGGGAGAGACATAGTAATGTGGTAAGGATATTGCTGCTTACATTCCTTTTTTTTTAAACTTAAAATGTATTGTTCTGCTTTACCAAAAAAAGAAACTTGCTAAAAATGTGTCTGGTTTTTAAGCTTAACATCATTATGTCTTACCAAAGCAGTATCCTCAAGTTCAGTGTATTAAAGTCACTGTACCAAATTCTATGAAGATAAACAAGCAGGGCATAAAAAAAATAATATACAAACTGGTTCTAGAGAAAGAACAAAGCCAGCCTCAATTACCAGGACAAAGGGTACTATCTTGGCAAGAATATAAAAGAGCAAACTGTATACAGTAATTCCCTGTCTATGTGTAAAAAGGAGAGGAGTTATCCAAAAGGCACCAACTTATTCTGCTTATACAATATGGAAGCTAAGCTTCCATGATGATCCTAGCAGTCACCATCTCCTGCTATTCACATATTGAACCAAGGTTGCACTACGTGACCAACAGAATAGTGCAGAATGAGGGTAATGTCGCTTCCAAGATTAGGCTGTGAAAGAGAGTGCAGCTTCTGTCCCAGTCTGTCTCTGCTGTCTTGCATTATTTCGGAGAAGCTGGCCGGCCTACTGAGAGGCCCACAAGGAGAGGAAGTGAGGCTTGCTGACAACCAACCACATGAGTGAGCTTAGAGTAAATCCTTCATTCTAAGTCCTGTCCTTAGTCCCAACTAACAGTCTGGCTGCAACTGCATGAAAGATCCTAACCCAGAGACACTCAGCTAAGCTGCTTCTGACTTCCTGGAAATGTGAGACAATAAATATTTGCCGTTTTAATCTGCTAAATGTTGGGGCAATTCTTTTCCTAACAACAGATACAATGATTAATTTTTAGGATATTATAAAAAAGTGAAAATTGGGTCAATGTATAAAAGTTGTTTAATAACAGGGTTCCTGCCCTACCTCCCCAAAACCTACAAGAAACGTAACACCCCATGAACAGACTGACAAAGGTAGTTCCAAAATTAGTTACCTGTACAATTGGTGGCGTTGTCTGTGAGTAAGGTGATGTCACACCGTAGACAGTTGGACACGCCTGACCTTGATAATATATGGTTGCTTGAGACTGTGCAGGAGAGTACTGTTGCTGGACATTGCTGATAGACTGAGACTGCTGGTTTGAATCCCAAACACCGTAATTCTGTCCCTGGACTGTGCCTGGGGTTGGCACTGGCAAGACAGTGACACTGGAGTCTTGGTGCACTACACCATCATTCTGGGCTACATACTGTGAACTCGAAACCTCCACAGGAGCTGACACATGTGGCACCACAGGCACTGGGGGAGGGGCAGCAATGGGTTCTGCAGAATGTCCCACCAAGGGTTGAGTGTGATCATAAGAAGCAGGTGAACACACAGGGTCCATGCTGGGTGTGGGTAGGAGCACCTTTCCAGCATTAGGGTTGCTGGGATCCACGTATGCCTGCATGGGGTAACCTGGTGGGTAGCCAGCAAAGGGGTGATGAGTGGCATTATAGCCAAGAGAGTCATAGGGCAGGGGGGATGTCATCCCCAAGTTCTGCATCTGCTGTTGTTGCTTCTGAGCCTCCCGCTGAGCCACCTCTTGCTCAAACAACTTCCGACGCTCCTCTGTAGAAAGTTTATTGCGGTCTTTAATTCGTACTTTCTTTTTAGAAGTTGGTGTATCATATCTAGAAAGAAAGAAACCCCAAGACATTAAGAGGGTCATAAAAAATTTCTCCCCTAAATTATAGCTATAACGAAAGCATTGATAAGTGCTATATTGCTGATGAGTACATCACTACCTAGACTAATTCCAATTTGCCACTAGTTAGAAAATCACAGCCCAAATGTCATAAGCCTACAGATAGGACAAAACCTCAGGGGTACTACTATTAAGATGGAAACCTTAATGTCATCTCTGGTCTTATGATTCTAGAACTTCAAATTACAATATGTGATGTCCTAAATAGATTCTTCTTTATAGCTAAGGTAAGTTCTATAATTGTAAATTCTGAAATTACAACAGAGTTTACCAAATTTGATATATATTTCACCACACCCATTTATAACAAATATCAAGAAGGAAAAAAAATATCATCGAGAAGGTTAAATGAAAGGTGTGTACAAACAAAAGTATGGAGAGATAGTCGCACGTCTGTGACCACTACCAAGTATTTGTACTAGCCTAACACAATACTGTAATGGGTTTTTTTTTCTTTGTTGCATACATCTTTTATTTGGTTTCACTGTAATGGTTTTGATAAAGATCCCAGTAGACCCACAAGAAACTCCGAAGGCTTCAATGATCGTTTTGTGAGCTCTGACACTGAGAATCAAACTCCTAGGAAAGTTCCCTTGACAAAAGTAATCAATGAAAACTAATCTCAAGAGACTTCACTGTCGGGAGGTTAACAATTAAAAATTTCACAGACAAAGGCATAATGTTTATTGAAGACACACACAAAAAAGTGTGGTTTAAACATTCCCAAGCTGTAAATTTCTTTTAAGGTCTTAACGAGGTGAAACAAATGCAAACTGTTTATAAATGAGAGTACTTGAAATTTAACTTCAGTAAATTTTCACAGATAAAAGTTCAGAGAAACACAATTTCACTTAAAATAATATTACACATGTATGGAAAGAGGAAAAAGTAATTCTACCCCCAAATGTCTATTGAATCTCATGCATATACATAATACTATGCCTATGAGTATTCATAACAGCACTATTTTAAAAACAACAGAAATCTACATGAAAGCTGAATGACTATCAATAGAATGAATCGACTGATATATCTGCGTAACAAAATATTATAAAGTCGTGAATGCTCATGAGTAAGCTAAAAAGACATAATATGGAAAAATCTTAGCAATACAATAACAAGTGAAAACAAAGTACTTTCTAAATACAGAAAGTTTAAAACCTTAAAAAAAAAGAAAAAACGAAATAATGAATACAGGATTCAAGATGTGACCTCCAGTAATAAATGTATGATTGTTAAGGTCCTAGCTTTTATGTTGACAGTGAAATTTTATCACAGTGTGATTCACAATACTTTATCACGTCTATTATGATTTTCAAAGTGTGTTTAAATATGTTGCTCAGTTTCACACTTGTTTGTTAATTGGTTTACATACCAGTTCTTGGGATTGTTAGAAGTCATTTTATTTGTTTTACAGTATTTAAAATTTTGTCTTCAATATATTTTGTCTTCAAAATGATATATATATATATATATCATTTAATTGGGGGACTCTTACAAATCTTATGACAATCCATCATTCAATTTATTAAGCACACTTGTACATATGTTGCCACCATTTTCAAAACAATTTCTTTCTACTTGAGTCCTTGGTATCAGCTCCTCTTTATCCCCCTCCCTCCCCATCCTCAGGAATCCTTGATCAATTATATATTATTGTTGTTATTTCGTGTCTTACACCATCCATTGTCTCCCTTCACCCACATTTTTTCTGTTATTCATCCCCCTGAGGCGTGTGCGTGTGATGGGTATATAGCCATCTCCCACCCCAGCGACCACCATCCCCCTACCCTCATATTGCTACCCCCACTACTGTTCCTGCCGGTTTTATTGGTCCTGAATTCCATGTGTCAAGGGCTCTTATCTGTATCAATGTGTGTACTCAGATTTGTAAGGTAGAACTGAGTCATGTTAGTGGTTGGGGGGGGGGGGGAGGGGAGCATTCAGGAACTAGAGGTGATGTGTGTTTCATCGGTGTTATACTGCACCCTGGTTGAATCTTCCCTTCCTTGTAACCCTTCTGTGGGTTACAAAACACAATGTACAAATTGTTAAAACAAAAAAGTTGCACAATGTTGACACACACAACCAATATACAGAAGTAAACTGTCTATCTAAATACCTGCAACAAATGGAAAGTGCAACCAAAAATTAAGATTTCTAGAAACAAATATACTTATCTCCAACATGTCACAATTATGACTGCAGTTTAATTTCCAATTTCCATCATCATGGCCTGGTCTTTGGAACCTAGCCATATCACGAAGAAGTTGGTAGACAGTAAAATGTCTTTTTAAAGAAATTAAGATTTAAAAAGATCCCAATCTTTATTAAAAATAGTTAAGACCTAACTAGACAGAGATAGGAGTACTCAATGCCACTCTCTGGTGGCTTCGAACCACCACCATTTCAGTTAGCAGCCTGGCACTATAGAGACTGCATGACCAGAACTCCTGTTGCATAGCTGGACAGCCCCAAATAAAAAAATCCATATAATTGCATTATATAAATGCTACCTCTCAATTTTTAAGTAAATTTAATTTAAAAATGACTTCTCCAGAATAAACGCTTATAACCCCTAGTGAGTAGTCATTTGGCCTGTTTTTTCACCAGCAAGACAAGAGAATCTCAGACCTCGTGAATTTGAAAGAGCATAATATTCACTAGAAATCCAAGTTTTGGTTTTCAAAGAATCAATTCTTCGAAGAATTTTATTTTAACAAGCGCCCTCCTCTCTTCCCTGTTAAAGAACAAATTGAACTACCCAAACAGCATTTGCATGTTCTCAATTAGAAGCCATTCAAGTTTAACTGTTAGCCTTCTTCATAGTTTTTACTGTCCAAAGAGAAGCTGCCTCAACCTCTTTTGTTTTAACAGATATTCACTCATCAAATCCTGTGGTGCCCCAATCAGAAGTACAGGCAGTCCTCAGGTTACATTCCTAACTATGCCTTTGTGAATCATAGGTCAGTCAAAACAAGTGCATACAGTGCTTAGTTAGTCTTAGTGTGAGAAGAGGCTTGCACTTTTTCCAATTACTTAAAAAGCTTGTGCAGCCGAGGTGTTGAACGGATCACTGAAGACAAATGGGTGCATAAGCAAATGTGGCGAAGAAAGCTGATGGTGCCCGGCTATCAAAAAGTATAGCGTCTGGGGTCTTAAAGGCTTGAAGGTAATCAAGCGGCCATCAAGCTCAGAAGCAACAAAGCCCACATGGAAGAAGCACACCAGCCTATGCAACCACGAGGTGTCGAAGGGATCAGGTATAAGGCATCATCAGAACAAAAAATCTTACCACAGTGAATGATGGGGGGAGTGCGGAGCGGAGACCCAAAGCCCATTAGTAGGCCACTGGAGATCCCCTTGCAGAGGGGTCTCGGGGAGGAGATGAGCCAGTCAGGGTGCGATGTAACAATGATGAAAAATACAACTTTCCTCTAGTTCCTAAAGGTTTCCTTCCTGCTCCCACTACCATGACTCGAATTCGATATTGCAAGTCTGGCTAGACCAGAGGATGTACACTGGTACAGATAGGAACTGAAAATACAGGGAATCCAGGACGGATGAGCCCTATAGGACCAGTGGTGTGAGTGGCAAAACAGGGAGGGTAAAGGGAGAATGGGTAGGAAAGAGGGAACCGATTACATGGAACTGTGTGTGACCTCCTCCCTGGGGGACAGACAACCGAAAAGTGGGTGAAGGGAGACGTCGGACAGGGCAAGATATGACAAAATACCCATTTATAAACTATCAAGGGCTGATGAGGGAGGGGGGAGCGGGGAGGGAGGGGGAAAATGAGGACCTAATGTCGGGGGTTTAAGTGGCGAGAGAATGTTTTGAGAAACGATGTACAAATGCGCTTTACACAATTGATGTGTGTATGGATTGGGATAACAGTTGTATGAGCCCCTAATAAAATGTTTAAAAAAAAAGAAGAAAAAAAAAAAAGCTTGTGCAGCAAGTGAATGAGATTATGATGAAGAATTTGTTGAGAGTAGGAGATGGTTCAATGACTTCAAAATGAGGGCAAATCTATGTAACATTAAAGAAAGAATGCAAAGATGGCGATTGGTCCCTCAGTTTTGAATGTATGCAGCTTTCCACAGTCCTGCCAATAATTCAATCTCATGTATTAAGCTCCTGAAAGGCCTCTTTCCAGTCTTCCATTCCACGGCTTTGAGCCATGTTTCCCGTTCCAGTTACCCATAGTGTAAAAATCTCTCACTTCGTTGGCCATAAGAGAACGGTTGGAAATCCGGCATTACAGGGCGAGTAGGAATTGTCTGTTAAGCTGGATGTTTATTAGCAGGGGACTGCCTGTATGTGACCTGGGCACTTGTGAACCTGCTCAGAAAAGAGAGTTAACTCGAAGAGGCCACTTACCTGTCATCTGGCCTTTTTGTTCCTCGTTCATAGGCAGAAGAGGGTGGTGAGAGGGAGCCCCTTCGTTTCCTTTTCTCTTTATTTTGAGTTTGCTTGTCTGGGTCTCTTTCTCTTGATCTGTTAGGTGTCTTTGGGGCAGCTGTTTGATCTCTGAAGCCAACAGCATCCCTTCCTCGTTCAGTTACTACTGAAAAAAGGTTTTTAAAAAAAGTTTACTTGGCAGAATGTTATCTATCATTCTAATAGTATAATACGTAATAACAAAATGTCTACCCATACAGTAAATGAACCTATGGGCTCTATCTTCCCAGTCAAATCTGGTGAGAAAAAGGTGATGCCTGTGTGGGTGAATGTGTGCATACCCCACTACCTGAAACAGCCTTCTACAGAGACTGCCCTTTTCTTCATTTCTCCACTGAAATTCCTACTCAAGCCTTCAACAACTCGAGAAAATGACCTGAAACATGTATGTGAGATATTCCTGTTACCTATTCAAAGCGCACCCTTCAATTACTCCTGTAATCCTGTATTTACAATTTGTAGAAAAGCAAGCCTGGTATGCTACTCATAAACACTCAATGAGAAAAGTCTTTATAACTAATAATAATAATGAACTGTGACATAAAAGCGAATATGTAACACATAGGCAAGAACTTAATAAATTATTAGTCAAGCAGCAATATTTCAACAAAATAACCAACCTTCTATTTAAAGATGGTACTAACCTTTTTCATTCATTGTCTCTCTACCTAGAATAGTTCTCACACTTAACCTCACTTGCCCAATTTCATCACCTCTGCTCCCAAAAGCTATCCTAAGTCCTATTTTTCATCTATCACCCCTCCCTTATGTTGGAAATAAATGCCACTACTGAACACTGAAATAAAAATTAACTTGTACTCAGCGGTGCTGCTTTGTGTATGACAGCACTGCAATCAGATTAATCAAATTGTTCTATTCTTAAAGACCAATTTGATATACAAAATATTTCTTATAAAATATTTGATATATCTCAAAGCAGATTTTCCAATAAATATTTACTGGCTTTTCCTCTTTCATTTATTAAAAAAATTTTTTTTGGCTTTCCCTTTCTTACCTCAGAAAAAATGTGCTATTATCAGTTGTTCCCAGGAACAAGGTTAGGTTTGCATGTGGCATTCTTGTAATTGTCACTTTAGTTAGCCAACAACCCAAATATCTGTGAAACAATTACTAATCTAAAACCATAAATGAACATTTATCAGTTAGAAATTAACAGAGATCATCTATATTCATATGCTGCACAATCAATTGAACTGTTGTTCCATATTATAAGGCATTAGCACAGTATGTCTCTCTCTTTTTTAAAAAATTATTTTATTGGGGGCTCGTACAATTCTCATCACACAGTATCTCTCTTATTTTAACTGGATTGACTGAGGATTGCTATTCTGTTTTCCTGCTAGTCTATGTGGTCACCAACATTAATTTCCTTAAAATGAAGCCCTATCTTCATTACATCCTGGTAAATTTTAAAAGAAAAGGAATTTTACAAAGAGCTTGCATTCTGACTCTGAGCTACAGCATATAGAACAGAAGTCATTTCATTGATTTAGGCTTATTTCCTGAACTAGACTACCTATTTCACAACGTACTTTACACTTTCTCTTTTGAAATAACCCATGAGGTTTTTCCGAAATTATAAGCTCTTTCATAGTTTGACATTGGGTGGGTGGGGGGGGGGTGTAACACAGAAACTAGGTTGAACTAGACTCATTCCAAAACCTGAGATTGTGATGATGGAGTCCCACATGTGAGATAGTAATATAACCGGCACAGGAAGGGTGCGCCTCTTGAATAGAAGTCACCCATTACAGACCAATGCCTGCATTTCTCAGAGGACTCTAGCAGACTACTAGATGTTCACATATATATCACAGCTTGCAGATCCTACTGATGGATTCAACTCAAGTGAGCCCAGAGAAACTAGCTCTGATAATCAACTCAACAGCTATTTCACTAATCAGCACTGCACAGCCCTACCATCTTTCTTGGTAGCTCAACGAGTAGCCCATTGTACCCCCAGGGCCCTGTTCCTACCATCCTAAAGAAAAAATTTCTTTGCAGCCCTCAAGGAAGAATGTCTGGATATGAAGAAACTAAACCTGCAGAACAAAAAATACTCAAAAGATTACAACAATGCAGTCAAGGATATTTCATGGATCTTTAGCTAATAAACCCATTTAAAATTAGAAAATGTTCTTCAAAATAAAGGAAAAGGCCAATAAATTCATTAAAAACCACGTGGCTCCTACACAGTGTAATGCTGTGTCAGTGCTGGTGGGGCTCGAGACACTAGTGACAACCAAGATCAATGGTCCTTTAGCTCTGACTAAAGAACTACATGGGAAACAGGAAACTGAGTGATAAAAAGAAACTGGTGTCCCACAGCCACTCCGTTCTTTTCTCCCTGTCGGCTGAATCCTAAGAATCTGATGAACGTTTGGAACTTTCCCCAAAGGAGAAATTGCACACATGGATTTTTGCACGTAAACATCTAGCAGTAAAACCCTACAGCAGAACTCTAAGAGTATAGATTTAAGGAACAAAAGAACAAATGAAAAGTTACTAGCGATTATAACTTTCAGAGAAAGCAAGAACAGAGAATCAAACAGTGCATGACTCCAAGTCTTCCTATCTATTTTCATTTACGTAATTGCACCACACGAACACACACTTTTATAGTTATATTAATTGGGATTTAATACATACGAGGGGTACCCCCAAAAAAAAAAAAAAAACCTCACAGGAAAAGCGCCAGTGGGTGGAGTTTTCTTGTACACAGTTTTCCCGCTAGGCACCGAGCAACTCACTTTGAGCTGGTGCAACTAGTGGTTCTGGCTGGGAAGGTTCTCTCTCTGGTCACAGTGAATTTTTTCATAAAAGTAGTTTTGTTCAAATACCGTTTTTGTGATGGCTGATTTAAGAAAACAGTGTGCAGCTATGAAATTTTGTTTCTTTTTCCATAAAAATGCCACAGAAACTGTTGTGAGGTTGAACATAGCTTACAAGGAAAGTGCTATGGGAAAAACAAGTGTACGAGTGGTCTTTTCTTGTTTCAAAAAAGGTGAAAGGTTGATTGACGATAAACTTGGCTCCGGACATCCATCAATTTCCCAAATGGATAAAAAGGTTGACAAAATTTGTGTACTTGAGCTTGAAGACCGATGATGGACCATTGAAGTGATGGGAAAGTTTTCAGGAACTCGGTTCAACAAATTTTAACAGAAGATTTGGGAATGAGAAGGGTCACTGTGAGATTTTTGCTTTGGGTTCTGACTGACCAGGAAAAAGAGCAATGAGTGGAAACATGCCATGCTTTGAAAGAACAGCTCCAAAGCAACACAGACTCCCCCTCCCCTCCAAGATTATTACTGGTAATGAGACATGGTGCTATTCTTACGACTCCAAAACCAAACATCAATCAAACCAATGGAAGACGCCATTATCACCTTACCCAAAAAAGCTTGTCAGGTGAAATCAAAGATCAAGATGATGCTCGCTCGTGTTTTTTGATGTGAGGGAATAGTGCATTTGGAGTTCGTTCCACCAGGTCAGACTGTTAATCAAGCTTTCTATTTAGAGGTTCTGAAAAGATAGCGTAACAGTGTGGGACAAAAAAGGCCTGATTTGTGGCAGACAGGGGACTGATTTTGCCACCAGAACAATGCACCTGCTTACGCAGTTCAGTGCATCAGTTTTTGGCAAAAAAAAACAAACAAAAAAACACCCCAAAAACAAAAAACAAAACACCCCCAAAAACCAAACAAACCCAAAAATCAGCATGCCTCTCTTGCCCCACGCACCTGACTCACTTGACCTTGCTCCACGCGACTTCTTTTTATTTCTGCAAATGAAGAGGGACATGAAGGACAGCAATTTGACGATGTAGAAGAGGTGAAAAAAACAAGGGAGCTGCTGTGCTGTCAGCCATCCAAACAGATGAGTTTGAAAAAGTTTCCAATGGAATTGCAGATTTGACAAATGTATTAAGTGTAGTAGAGAATACTTTGAATGTGAAAAGGTTGTTTTGTAAAAAAATTTAAATGCATACCTCTGGGGGAAAAAATTCCGGGTTTTTTGGGATAACCCCTCGTATATAATAACATTCCAAACTTCAATAATTTCAAGCAGAATGTACAATTGCTACCCCAATCACCTAATTGTATTTTTTTTAATTAAAAGATCATTTGGCTGGGGGCTCTTACCTTCTTTTATAACAATCCATACATCAATTGTATCAAGCATATTTGTACATATGTTGCCATCATTATTTTCTAGACATTTACTTTCTATTCAGCTCTTGGTATCAGCTCCTCTTTTTTCCCTCCCTCCTGCCTAATTGTATTTGTTATAGAAAGTACAGTTCTTGTAAGTTACTGTATATACTCGAGTATAAGCTGACCCGAACATCAGCCGGGGCACCTAATTTTACCACAAAAACTGCATTAAAAATATGCTGGAAAAATTTGGCTCATACACAAATACACATGGTACCTCTGCCTATTTCCAAAAGAGTATTTGTAAAAGCCATATAGGCAAGTATTTCTGAATACCTACTTGTGTTCTCCTTTTCAGTTTGACTTTTCTTTGGGATTCGATACACCTCCTGCAAAAAATAAAAAGGATTATGAGTATGAGGAAGAAGCAGGATTGCTTTAAACTGACTTTACATGGCAACTAAGAAATGGGAGGGAGCAGTAATTGTTCTCCATAATTTGACTTATATTTAGTTCTAAATAAAAGTGGATCCTGGCTGCTAAAGCCAAGTAAAAACATATTAGATAACTATACATTAAAAATTATGTATATATAAATGGGGGGGCTTAAAAATTATATATAATATATAAATGGGGGGAGGCTTAAAAAGTTTACAGAAAAAATTCATTATCCTGAGGGGCCGGCCCCAATCCCAACTACTCCGTGGACACCTGCGCCTCCCCCCAGAAGAATTTATTTCAAAGGATGGCATTGGATCCGATCAGAGCACACGGGTACAGAGGAAGGGGGAGGAGGGGAGACTGGAGCACATACTGGCCCACCAGGCCTTGAGGATGATGTTCCCGATTAGAGCAGCCAGTTCACAGAGAGGACCATGTGGCCGGCCCCACCATGAAACATAACATCCCTATGTCCCCCATAGCCCTTCTGGGGACAACACTGGAAACACAGTGTGGGAATTGCACCTGATCTGACCCCGTAACACCGAGGCAAAACACTAAGGGGGTGCAACAGAATAGCAAGGGAATGGAGCGGCGAGGTCCCCAGGGAATGCTAAAGGTGGACTTTGGGGCCAGGGCGTGGTGCCCCCACAGACTGGACTGAAAAACACTCCTAAAGGCCAACAGTCCTTGAACTAACACACAAAAAATCGTTATCTTTAGCTGATTTGTCCATGAATTCCTTTTTGGAAGACTACTCATGAAGGTGGTACACACACCCCCATTTCACCTGAAAATGTGCTTTATATCACATTTGATGATGAAGAATCTCCATCAGTACCTCCTTTTGTTAACTGGGGGGGAAAAAAACCCAAGAGGATTTTTGCTTTCTTGAAAAAAGTGAACCATGAAACTGATGTTCAAGCAGCCGTTCTGCAGTGAAGCTTTAGAGAGGCAGCGTGCGTCCTGAGCAGGGTGAGTGGTGCTGCCGTGCTCTTGTCCTAGAAACTAAAATCAAAGCTGGGTCTGAAAACGCCGTACGCCAATGCTGTTTCAAGTTTACATGTTTTTTGGGATCCCTGGTGGCAGTGACTTAAGTGCTGAGCTGCTAAACCAAAGATTGGTGTTTTGGACTTGCCAGTCATTGTATAGGGGAAAGATGTGGCAGTTCGCTTCAGTAAAGATTGGAAACCCTACTAAGCACTTATGGGTTAGAATCCCACAGCTGGAATCAACCTGAAGGCAGAGGAGTGTGGTTTTATTTGTTTGGTGTTATTTGGTAGGTTTATTTTGGGGGGATCTGGGAATGCTCTCCTTTTGGATATAAGAGGGAACCTACACGTGTGTATCATTTTTTCGCATCTACCATATTTTGCATAATCTCATTAGCAAAGCAACAGACTACGTGGCGGGACTTATTTCTAGCAGTTATACACTTTCTAAGAATCTGTAATTTCTGACTGTCTTCTGCCTGTGCATTCCTGTATGTAAACTGACATCACATGCTTAGTTTCTTTACTGAGTTTTCATAAAAGCAATTCTTAAGTTTCACTCCTCATCCCTACTTAAGGAAGAAAAGATTAGTAACAAGTCAGCTATATGAAAACACAAGTAAGATTGGAAGTATAAACTCAGTCTCTCCTATTTAAACAATCTTCTATGATAAGAAACTGTCTGCTTCATCATTCTACAAATTAGAAAAGTGAGACCCTGAACATGTCCAGGTTCCACAATAATGAAACGGCAGCATTAGTCTCAGTACAGTGACTTTACAATAGAGTGAATATGAATGAAGCCAATCCAGATAAGCCACCTGTGTCATCACTCAAAATAGATTTCTGTAGACTAAAATTACTGCCATTTATTTACACACTAAAATATCATAATTATCTTCACATGGCTGCTCTCAACTTTAAAGTTGATTTTTTTTGTTGTTTTCAAGTTGATTTTAACTCCTCAGAAAAGCCTGAAAGATCTGCTTGCTCAGTTCAACCAATTCACTTTCAGCATCTATTTTATTTCTTTAGTGCTATGTTTTCTCCTACACACACACTCTCTCTCTCCCTCCATCACAATTATTAAGAACACAAATTAACAACAACAAAAACCCCCCACAAATTATCTTATTCTTTACTGTTAATCTTGACCACTAAAAGAGCCTAACAGATATTCTATATTCAATTATTTACTGAATGGACCAATGTGAAATTCTCCTTCTAATTTGTATAATCACACACAGAGTGCTATACTAACTGCACATATTGTATATACTTGTTTGTTTGTATCACTAAACCTTCCTCGTGCATTATGAGAACACCTGCGATAAATTTCACTGACAACACAATTTTTCAGTGCATTTTGTAGGTCAGAACAGCAAGTGTTCCTGTGCAACATTTAAAATTCCCTTTCTCTGCTCAGAACAGGCTGCCCTTGAGCCATCATTCTCCTTTAGTCAAAGGCTCAAAGTCCATCTTCGGAAATTATCTGATAAACACCAAGTCACTGATAAGTTCATGAGGCATCAATGTATATGGAGATGTTTTTAGTAAGTGTACACAAAGACAGCATGACGATTATTTGTGGAAATTCAGTGTCTACTTACATAACAAGCACTAAAAGCTCATACTAAAGGTCTCCTATATTTTGAATACTACACCTGTTTTCAAGGAGTTCATAGGCTAAAATAATAATGGTTAATGCCAAAACTAAGTTCTTTGTTACACATCTTATATGACACCTACAGTATGCACTGTGCATGTTAGACACTAAAAAATTGAGAGTGATGCAAGGTTCTGAAATGTTCATTATTAGCTAGCACTTAGGACACAGATATTTATACAATACATATATAAGTTCAACCTCTTAAGTATTCAATATAGAAAAGCTTTGAAACTTTTAAATTTTGCACAAATATCTAGAATGTGGTGGTTAAAGAGAAATTTTCAAAAAAATCTGAAGATGTCTTTCAAACTAGTCCAAATACTGAGTAAAGTTATCTAACCAACAATACTCTCTCTAAAATAAACAGTATTTTCAGATTATAACTAGCAACAAGCAAATTTTTAATTAAAAAGGGGTGAAGGTTTAAATATGGGTCACTGGAGAGATGATAAAGCTATTAACAGAAGTGAGTATCACAAGCCAAGAAACTGAACTGCAAGAGAAGATTATGAGCTTGAGTCTGAAGGGCAAGTAGAGGAGAGAGCCAGGAGAAAAATACTGTGGTACTGTAGGAGATAGCCAAGAGGCAGTGGAAGGTGAAATGTAAATTGATTTAAAAAGAATAGGCCTGCGTACGGCAAGGTTAGCAGTTCAAAAAGAATAACACTATATATAAATCTAAAGCAAGAGCAGGTACATTAATAGTTTCTTAGGATTATGACAGGGGCGGTTGGGGGGAAATGGGGATCTAATAATGAGTACAAGAATGAAGAAAATGTTCTAAAATTGATTGTGGTAATAAATGCACAATACTTTAATATATTTACTCCACTGAATTACATAAGCTGTTTAACAGAGTAAAATTCTCCTATTGGATTAATATAGTATGTTTTCTACTTATTTTTTTTCATGTTTTTGTTTTTTTCAATTTTTTAAAATTTATTTATTTATTTTTTAACATTTTATTAGGGGCTCATACAACTGTTATCCCAATCCATACACACATCAATTGTGTAAAGTGCATTTGTACATCGTTTCTCAAAACATTCTCTCGCCACTTAAACCCCCGACATTAGGTCCTCATTTTTCCCCTCCCTCCCCACTCCCCCCTCCCTCATGAGTCCTTGATAGTTTATAAATGGGTATTTTGTCATATCTTGCCCTGTCTGACGTCTCCCTTCACCCACTTTTCGGTTGTCTGTCCCCCAGGGAGGAGGTCACACATAGTTCCTTGTAATCGGTTCCCTCTTTCCTACCCATTCTCCCTTTACCCTCCCTGTTTCGCCACTCACACCACTGGTCCTGTAGGGCTCATCCGTCCTGGATTCCCTTTATTTTCAGTTCCTATCTGTACCAGTGTACATCCTCTGGTCTAGCCAGACTTGCAAGGTCGAATTCGAGTCATGGTAGTGAGAGTGGGAAGGAAACATTTAGGAATTAGAGGAAAGTTGTATTTCTCATCATTGTTACATCGCACCCTGACTGGCTCATCTCCTCCCTGAGACCCCTCTGCAAGGGGATCTCCAGTGGCCTACTAATGGGCTTTGGATCTCCACTCTGCACTCCCCCCATCATTCACTGTGGTAAGATTTTTTTGTTCTGATGATGCCTTATACCTGATCCCTTCGACACCTCGTGGTTGCATAGGCTGGTGTGCTTCTTCCATGTGGGCTTTGTTGCTTCTGAGCTTGATGGCCGCTTGATTACCTTCAAGCCTTTAAGATCCCAGACGCTATACTTTTTGATAGCCGGGCACCATCAGCTTTCCTCGCCACATTTGCTTATGCACTCATTTGTTTTCAGTGATCCGTTCGACACCTCGTGATAACATAGGTTGATATGTTGTTCCATGTGGGCTTTGATGCTTCTGAGCTAGATGGCCGCTTGTTTACCTTCAAGCTTTTAAGACCCCAGACGCTGTATCTTTTGATAGCCGGGCACCATCAGCTTTCTTCACCACATTTGCTTATTCACCCGCTTTGTCTTCAGCGGTTGTGTCGGGAAGGTGAGCATCATAGACATCTACTGGGTAAATTATTACCGATGATAGCTTGATACTTTTTGTCTGGCCCAGGGTTGCAGCCTACTTTGTTAATGGTCTATTTCAACCTTGCAGGAATTGGTCAATACATGCAATGAAGTGATGACAGCTTACTACACAAATAATGTCTATGTGGTCCGCCAAGAGGTGATTTGACCGTTTGTAACCATGGCGGAAGGGTCATGCCTAGAAACTGGCTGGAAATTTGCTTATGCTCCTGCAACCAAACCATAAAAAGTTGGCAAC